AGACTCAACACTCAGAACATCATGGTTTACTGGATCACCTGGGCCTCGCCTGCCGACTGGGCATGGCTGCTTGGTCAAGTGGGTGACGTGGTCTTGTGGTCTTCACCAAAGCTGTGGAATGGCTGTTGCTGATGGTGACTGGTGCAGGTAGCTGTGCCTGGAAGTCTGAAAGTACCTGAAAGTCTGCCAGGAGACTGGAAGAAAAGGGAACTTTGAGTTTCTTTTTATCTTGTTTATGTAATACACTGGCTCTGTAGCTATTTACAACTGTGCTGGTCCTTCTCCCTCTTCCCTCCTTGCTGGTGTCAGAGCTTCCACACTATCTGCATGGTACACGCATTAGTTAAAATGGTCCCTGTTTAACGAACGCTAAGGATTTACTCTTACCCAGGGAAGACGGCAGCTTAGCTGGAACCTGAGGGCCCAGTTGTTCTGGGTGTGCTGTGACCCTCGCAGCTGCTTTGCAGCCGTGTGAACTCGACACCCCTGCAGGCAGGTTTGCACCCCGGCTACACCTGGCGCTGCGTCCAACCCCGGCAAATGTTTTCTTAGCCCAGACCACCAAGCATTCAAAATGGTTTCTAAACATGATGGAATGAAGATGCTCAGTATCGTAAAGGGAGATAAGTATTTTTACTGTATTGTTGCATTATCCCTTCCCATTAACTTGCCCTGGCGTAATAACAGTGCTGTGGTGCCTTCCTTGTCATTGTTGTTGTTTTCAGGTTACAAAACACAGGCTGATTTGGGCTGTGCCATGTACGTCTGTATTAGGAATGGCTTGACAGAAAGTGACTCTCAGTTCTTGAATTACATAACATTTTTAACATTTATCAATAACTGGCCTCCTTGATTTTTGCAGGTGGTTTTCTGATGATGTGTAAATGGGAAATAAGCATTTGCTTATTTGGAAGTGAAGCATTATCGGTTTTAGGGAAGAGGATATAATTTGTACTCTTTGTTGACCAGGTGAATCAGACTTTTGCTGTTACGAGCCTATTGAGCGAGTGAAAAGAGCCTGCAACAGCAGGCAAGACTTGGCCTTCACTGTTAAGATGGTAAAAGTTGTCACATTTCCTAGCAAACCGGGGCTAACCTGACGGAGGGGGGAGCCCCGGCTCTCCTTAGTGCACGGCGGGTGCTCCCCAGGCCTTGCAGTGCACAGAGAAGTGCCAGTTCCACCATCCCTGATGGGCGTCACCTCACCCAGACCTGCCACTGAAGGTTGCTAAGTATCATAGTGAAATAACCAACGTGAATGTCCTGCCCGAGCGGCTGCAGGGCCCGGCCACAGCCCCGAGCGGGCACATGGTCCGCCCTGCACACAGAGAGGTTTCCCTCCCCGATTTGCATGGAATTAGGGTGCAAGAGGCCACGTGGCCTCAGATGCGCCTGTTGAGGCTTCTGCCCGCCCCGGTGTCAGGTCTGCCCCCGTGCTCGTGGCACTGGGGAAAGTGGCTGCTGCTTTAGTTAACGCCACACAGCTCAACCAGAGCAGGGAAACGTGAGCCCAAGGAGAAAGGAGACCCAAAGGACATTACAAACAAGCCGGGATGGAGGAGCCAGGAGGATGTGGGCCCTAAGTGCCACTGTGGATGGCACCGTGACACTGTCCAGAGATAAAGAACTAACAAGGCACTGGCTTAAGTGGCGGATTCAGTCTATTTGCAAGTGCTCCTGAGCAGAGAAATGGTGCAAACCCTGCTGAGGACAGAGAGATAATATAAAAGGGATCTACGGAGAAGCAAGAAATACAAGCAGGAAATGATAAAATGAGATGTAGCTTGGAAAAATACAAGTGAATACACGTGGGGATTAACATTTAGTGATGAATTCAGTGGGAAGAAAAAAACTGGAAAGCAGAAGATTGAGAGGGAGGGAAATTGCAGCTCCAGCAGTGAGAGTGAATTAGGTACTTGGAGAGGGAGGCGCTAAGGCCGACGCGCTGGTCTGGGGTTCAGGATCTGCCCCCGTCCACAGGCGCCACGGTTTAGGCATGGGGCTGCAGCCGGTGTTTGGATACAGGGACCCGGGGGCGCTCAGATACATCGATAAGAGGGGGAGGGCCTTTTCCTGCGGCCCTCGTGTGCGGGAGGGCTTGCGCCGCGCTCCGGGGGGATTCGGCCGTGGTTCACACAGCAGCGAGGAGCGATCCTGATGGCGCCGCCGGCCTTGGTGCACACGGGGCCTCCGGACTCGTTCAGAGCGAGGCGGGAGGAAAAGGCAACGGGACAACCCCAAGCACCCAGAGCGGGGCAGGTTCCTTGGCCGCGGCCAGGGGGCCGCAGGAAGCGCCCCCGCAGGTGGACACTGCCAGGAGGGCGACACAAAGACACGCGGGGCTAAAAATGGGTGTGTGGCACACGGCGGGGTTAGCAGCAGCGCCTAGGACGGGGGAGCCCTCCCGGTGTGCAGCTAGATCCATGTTTTAAAAAGTCCAACCTCGCTTTTTGCCCAAGCCTGCAGGACTCGGTTAGCCAGGGCCGCTCCTGCAGCGCGACGCCCCGGCGCTTACAGAGCACGCGAGGCAGCAGCCCATGAGGAAAGCGCCGTGACAGAGCAAGCCAGAGGGAAAAGGAAGCACAGTGTATTTATTAAGTAACAAACGGGGATTTTTTTTCTTCTTTGTGTAGGAAACACTTTAAAATCAAGTGCCCTTTCACAGATTTAAAAGCTATAACAAATGTTAACATTGGTTTTACATTGTATACATAGCATTAAAAAAACCACATACACACACACCACTTTTCACAAACTTCCTTTTATTACAACTCCGATTTCTCTTCCTTCAACTGTAAATCAATTTCTACAGACTTAAATTTAACTTATTCATTTTTTTTTAAACAAGTAAACAATATACAAAGAGCGTCACCCGGCTCAAGCCGGAGCAGGTGTCCTTGGCAGGGCATGTGCAACGAGCACGGGGCGTCCCGGAGGCAGGAAGAGTGGACTCCATTCCCATGGGAAAGGCCGCATCCTCCAGGGATTGGATGGAGGAGGCACCTGGAGCACCTCCCACTGCTGTCAGAGCCACGGGCACACGGAGCCCTCCCAGCCCCCATGTTTTTAATGCCAAACTCAACTCCGCAGGGTCAGGATGAGGGAGCCGGGTCAGTTCAAAGGCTTGGGAGACCTGAGCGCATCGAAAGTCCTTG